GGTCGACACGAGCGACGCTGTCCGAGCATTGGCTGCCTCCTCTTCTTCTAGGCGCACAAAGCCATCGGCTCTTTCATTGAGTTCATCCATAGTCGTCGGCGTGTTCACTACCAGACTGGTATGGAACGGAGTGCCACGTGTCATGGCTAACTTGAAGGCTTGAACCGCTGTAGAAGGGTGGCATTCGATCACCATACTCTTAGTGAGATTAAACCTGGTGAGAAAAGCCTGGAGACGTTCATCTTTGTGCTGTCTCATTGTGAACAGGCTTGAGATGTCCTTCGGCGGACGCTTGTTCCCATAGTACTGGCTTATGAACCGATCGCACAGGTTTCGGAAGCTACCAATGGAGCTCCTAGGCAAGTTCTTGAACCAGCTGAGCGCCGGTCCAGCTAGGCTTGTAGGGAAACATTTGCACATTAAAGCGTCGTTTTCCGTATTCAGGGCCATCTTCAACTGGATATGGTATACATGATCGATCGGATCGGTTGTTCCGTCAAACAGAATAAAGACTGGCATAGCAAACTTCCTTGGATGCGGGGCATTCAGGATCTCGTCAGTGAATGGTGAATCAACCGTCCGAGCCGCGGATCGGAGTGCTTCATTCTCTCTTTGGCGCCCAGTGGTAGCTCTGTGAGCTACGGTTCTGCTCTCCGAACCGCGATGAGTGATTGTAGCCATGGAGGGCCGGTAAGACGGATCGAACGACCGTTCCTCTATGAGCTCTCTTTGCCAAGGCGACACAACTTGGCGGCGATCAACCTCTATCACTTCCTCTCGGTTGAACCTTTCCCGATGCGGATCGAAGGTCATGGCTTCGTTCTGTCTGATCTGCTCATGTCGCGGATCAACGTGAGTCGATCCTTCGTGATCCTCAACTCGACGAGCATTTGGCGGCAAATCATCCATCCTCCTTTCATCACGGTGGAGAGCTGACTGATTGTTCTCGTCCTGCTCGCCTTGATGCGTGATATTAGATTGAACACCTCCTTCACCGGCCGGAAGTGGACGCGAAACCGCGGGTATTTGCTGATGTTGCATTCCAGCTTTCAAATCTGCATTCTCTTTTTTGAGAGCCTCGATCAAGTTCATCAACTCCTCAAGCTTCGTTTGTTGGACAGCCTCCATCGGATTGGAGCTTTCACCTATCATTATTCCTGAACGGAGTAAAGGCATTAATCTCAAGTTCGTGAGTAGATCCGAGCTTCGTGAGTGGGAATTTTTCAGATCTGGTTTCGAATTCTCCGAATTATGCTCACGGTTGACGAGATCTGAATTGTCCGAATTCTAAATCCGTCAGATCCTGCCACAATCGAACAACTCGTTGTTGCGTAGATCTGAAGCCACTTCTGCCAAAGCAACAGGAACTAAAATTCCTCCAGAGTAGGTCACAATCGCTCAGATTTGGATCCAACTCCCAAAGATCGAGTTTCGTTCCCACGGATTGGTCTGAATTCACGCGATATTGATCAATGATCAATCAATCTTCTACGATTCCCACAGACGGCGCCAATTGAAGATGCAAGAAATTCCTCCTTTCTTTCTCTCTCTAGAATTCTTACATTTCAACTAAAAAAATATCTCCCCTGCTCTATCAATTACTTCTCCTATTTATAGATACTTACAAATATTGATGGACTGCAGGATCTAGGCCCGTTCCTCTATGAGTTTTGGAACGCCAGGGCCCGTAAGTTCTCTGATAGCCTGGAGGTGGCCAATAAGGAAAACGACCTTCTCGCCAGCAAGAATACCGAGGTATTGGCTCGGCTTGAAGAAACCGAAAAAGAAAGAGATGTCCTGAAGAAGGAAAACGACTCTCTTCAGGATGAGAAGGATGCCCTCCAGCTTGAGAAGAGTGTCTGGCAGACTGAACGTGATTCAATCAGAGACGAAAAGGCAGAGCTCTAGCGCCTTCTGGCTGATGAACAGTCTGCTCGGATGGCTTTTGAGAAAAGAGCTCTGGACGAGCGCAATGCTCTGATTGATACCATCAGCAGAGTGAACGGTGGAATGCTGGCTCTTCATGCTCGGTTCTCAGGAGTCGGAGCTCTTAGATATGCTCAGGGATTCCGAGATGGTTTCTCCGACCGAGTTCCGGCTGAGGGACAGACCAGCTCAACTCCAGATGAGATTGGTAAGGATTTAGGGATTGATCCTCTGGGGGTCTATGTTGACCCAGAACCCACCGAAGCCGAGCACATATTTGATGAATGTCAGGAGATTGTTTCCTCTAGGATCACTACAGCTCCTCCTACCGTTCAGCCTCTAACCGCTCCTCATTCGTCAACTGTGGTATCTCCCATAGTCACTGCTGACGTTGGCCCCCAGCAGAATGACTCTGTTATTCATCTTGATTCCCCACCTCGTGAGGGTGAGATGGCTGACGGGACCGAGGAGGCGGATCGGCACAACCAGGAGGCTGTCGGTACTGAGGCAGCTAGCTAGGACTCCTCCAGACTCTTCGATTCCATACTTTTTTGTAACAATGTGACTTGAATACTTCATTTTTTGTAACTCCAATGCTTATCATGAATGAGATGACAGAACTCTTTTTTCTCTTTTTTCTTTGTGTTACGCTCTGTTCAAACCCATTTTCAATATATATATATACTTTTTTTTTTATATTAACTTTGTCGTGTGCGTGTTTTTGGCAAGTGCCTGGCGTTCGGCTTATGGTGCCAGCTGCCACTTATCTTGCTTAAGTGCCTAGCGCTCGGCTAGAATGTCACTTGCTACTTGGCTTTTCATTTTTTAGCAAGTGCCTGGCGTTCGGCTTATGGTGTCAGCTGCCACTTATCTTGCTTAAGTGCCTGGCGCTCGGCTAGAATGCCACTTGCCACTTAGCCTTTCATTTTTTAGCAAGTGCCTGGCGTTCGGCTTATGGTGCCAGCTGCCACTTATCTTGCTTAAGTGCCTGGCGCTCGGCTAAAATGCCACTTGCCACTTGGCTTTTTATTTTTTAGCAAGTGCCTGGCGTTCGGCTTATGGTGTCAACTGCCACTTATCTTGCTTAAGTGCCTGGCGCTCGGCTAGAATGCCACTTGCCACTTGGCCTTTCATTTTTTAGCAAGTATCTGGCGTTCGGCTTATGGTGCCACTTATTAAACAGGGGGTAATTATGGGGGCAGTTGAGGAAGCCCGAAGTGACATGGGCCGGATATGACCTGCAAACGCGACATCCGGTCCGTACAGATGGGTCAGGCCCATAGAAAGACACTGCCATATGGGCCGAACGCGAATAGCCCATCAGAGATGACCAAAACTCATAGAGGAACGGGTCTAGATCCAGCAGTCCATCAATATTTGTAAGTATCTATAAATAGGAGAAGTAATGGATAGAGCAGGGGAGATATTTTTTTGGTTGAAATGTAAGAATTCTAGAGAGAGAAAGAAAGGAGGAATTTCTTGCATCTTCAGTATCTTTCTTAGTTATGAATTGGAAGGTTTCCTTGAGGGTTGAAAGGAAGTTTTTGGATTTGTTCATGGTTTATGATTACCCCAAAGAGAATTAAAGGGCTGGCGTGACGGTACTTTTGAATGTGATGGTTTTGAGTTTTATTTGCTAGTTCAAAGAAGGATTGTAGTGACTCGGGAGTTGTTTCCATGCGTTGAGCTTAGGTGGGTTGATGAGAATGGTGAAGATGTTGGTGTGGCATCACAAAATTAGCGTTTGAGATGGTTCGGTAATAATGGGTGGGTTTGCAGAGGGTGAAGATGATGGTTGGGAAGTTCATTAATCATGGTGAAATAGGAAGAAGAAAAACTAAGTACACATTTCACAATGTTAAATCATTAATACTAGAAACACTTGTAGATAAAGAGAGTGAAGGGTGTGTAAACTGAGATATTACTTGAGTCACTTGACGATTTTGAGGTTTTTTCCTGTCAAAATTGAGATATGGTTAAGGAAGGGAGTTCAATGACTCTTGTTGGGAGCTGGCTGCTGGCCATTTCCACATTATTGACCCCAGGAGGGTTTATGTTTTATTTTTATCGATTCATCTATTATGTGATGATGTCGGGGTTTATTTCTTAGTCAAAACTGAGGTATGTTCAAGGAAGGGAGTGTAATGACTCTTGATGGGAGTTGTCTGTTTCCATGTATTGTCTTCATTAGGAATTACTGAGAATGGATCTTACTGAATTCCAATTGTAAAGATAATTGTTGTGGAGTCACAAATTGGGCATTTGAGATGTAATGCAAAGTCTACTTATTGCCAATCTCTCTCTCTCTCTCTCTCTCTCTCTCTCTCTCTCTCTCCTATATGGTGTTATTGAGTAGTTGATTTTGAACTGAAAAATTACTTTGCAGGTAAAATGTAGATTATTGTACCTGTTTGGTTATATGTAACTTTTGTATCTCTGGGTGCCTGGATCTAATAGTATGGACAGTTCTCTTAATGTAGCAAGCACTTTTTTAAAAAGGAGCTGTATCACACTTGCATATGTCTAACATGGAAATGAGATTGAACACACTCCAAATTCAGATTTTCTTTTGTAATGAAATATCTAAATTATACACATGCATCACGCATGGAACAGATACCTTCTGATATAGGATACGACTAATTCTGCTGACAAAAATATAATTGGGGATTAGTAGCATCTATTTAATTTTTTTATTTATTTATTTTTTATTTTTTATTTTTTTATGGTATTTGTATAGCTTTATTTTCAAATTATTTAATTTTTAGTACAGAAATTAGAAAATTAAAAAAAAAAAATTCTGCAATTGTCGTGTAAATAAATACACACACACACACACACACACATATATATTGTTGTGTTCAGCAAGGATCAATACTAGATCAAAATCGCACTAAGGTATCGGATTTTGTCATTGTTTATGAAAAATAAAAGAGGATATTCGATGGTAAAGAAACTGAGTTGACAAGGATGGAAACTAACCTTAGGAGATCTTGGCTTCCTTCTGCCATCTTTGGTATTGATGAATGTTTGTAGTTTTTGTTTCTAACTTTCGACCATTTTTGTTTGTGCAGAATGCGGAGTGAATATATCTGAAAAGGCAGGCAAATTTCCCGGAGGGGTTCAAAAAGGTTACTGTTTCATGTGTATTCAAGTATATATAATTAATGACCTGTTTGTTCATCAGCGTCCATACAAGTTGTTACAACTTGAATGAAGTAATAACTCATTATTTTTCTGTGTCTTCTTATTGTTAATAGCTTCAGAGTCTACAGGCGTGTTTCTTTCTTCTCTGTCATCGTATATGTATATATGGTGAGTCAATAAGCAACTGGGATGATGTATAAGCATGGAGAGTAGCCGTTCTATTGTTTACTTTTGTTTCAGAACATGGAGAGGTGATTATTTCAGAATGTGCTACAAATTATTTCTGCTATAGCCTATTCTGGATGTAGTCGGATGGTTTTTGCAATCAGAGAAGGGGAAACAGAACTTGATGAAATGTAAATGACTTGTTTGGTTACTATGAAAAACATAGAGCAAGAGAAAATATGGGCAAGAAGATGGAGAATTTTTAATTTTTCATTATCTATGATTTTATTAAATTCTCTCACTCTCTCTTATATTTCCATCAATTGAACTCTATCTCGCTCTCTTAGATTAGTCTAAACCTCGATGTGAGATAGGGACTAGGGATGGCAATGGGGCGGGTTTGGAGCGGGTTTCCCTAAATCCCGCCCCGCCCCTTTTAATTTTTGTCAAGTCCATGCCCGCCCCGAGACTCGCGACGGGTTGAATTTTCATATCCAACCCTGCCCCGTTAGGAAATACTGTGCCCCCGTGCCCGCCCCACTAACAAATTTTTTTCTCCCACTTTTTGGAACTTAAACTCCTGCTATTTAAATGTGCAAAGCCTAGGAATGACACAACATAAATAAAATTATGTATTCTAACAAAAATAAAAAAAAATAACATGCACATAACATAATTCAAAGAACATAATAAACAAAAATAAAAATTTAATACAACCAAATCACAAGAAGTTCTAAGCTCCAACTTCCACCATAATTAAAACAAAAGCAAATTTAATACCAAGTTTACATCCCAAATCAGGATTGTAAGAGATGGGTTGGGTAAGCCGCTAAAATAACTTATATATATATATATATATATATATATATATATATATATATATTAAATATAGTTATATGCGGGGCGGGGCCCCTAGGATATGTATATTGAACCCTTACCCGCCCCGTGACCCTCGACGGGTATAAAATTTGTATCCATGTCCGCCCCAACGGTATAATAAGTATTCCCATATCCGTTATTAACGGGACGGAACGGGGCGGGACCCCGGCCGGGGCGATAAAAATTGACATCCCTAATAGGGACACCTGATGTAAGAAACTCTCGTTAATTTATGCTCTTTAGGACTACATACTCTTGTTGTTAGAACTACTTTAGGAAATTTTATACTATATTTTCTTCACCCCCAAAATCATTCTTATCAGGTTCGGTTTGTAGTCTTCTTTTAAAGGTTAAATATTGCGTATAAACACAATTAATTGAGATATAGCTCAAAAACTGAATTTTGGACTTTCAGAGTCCGAAAACACTGAATGTGATAAATTACACTGATATAATAAAGTTTTGTTATTTACTTATTCTCTCTTTCGGTTAATATATGCTCGGAGTCATTAATTGTAAGCCATGCTTGTTAAATTGGTGGAGCAGTTGCAAAATGTACTTGGGAGGGTCCATTTGAAAGGTGGTTGAGGTAGCAATATCTCTGGCTAAGTGATACGTTTTAATAGCCTAGATCAATTAGCTGACCTACTTCATTCAATACGATTTTCCTCTCTTCCAAGTGGTTTACTTTTATTACATTTTGGAGGATTCATATGGTATTAGGTGTAAATTGCTCTGAAGAAAGAAAAAATAATTACATTCACCTCCCCTCATGTTTGGATAAATTACTCTCCTGAGATTTGGTGTGTGCTTGACCAGTAATGTTGATTAATGCTAAGATATTATTTATTTATCAAGAGATGAAGTGCAAGAAAAGACTCTTACTATGTAGAAGAGTTCGCCAAAAAACTACTTTGGACATTGTTGCATTACTCGTTTGGCTTGTTATCGTAAATTAAAAATTCTTAAAGGAAAACAGACTCAGGCAAAGCAGAGTTCTATTGAATTTTTATTTCGTTGTCATCATCATCAAACATCTATCTGCCTGCCATTCACGCATGTAACGAAGAGTTATGACCCTATTTAATATTGGACAATGACAACTACCCTTCAAAGTAGAAAATTGAAATTGAAGGCTTGGTTTTCAATACCCAACCTGTTTATTGCAGCTCATGAATGAATGAATGATTTGCAATGCTCACTTACAATATGGCAAGGGCTAGATCATAATGGCTGAAAACATTGCTTTGAAAGCTTTGAATAGACCTTTTTGTCATTTTTCCCCTCCCCGTAGGTGAATCACACACAACCCTTCCTTTGAAAGGAAGAGAAGATACCACTTCGGTCATGTCCGTCCGTCGATCACACCATTGCTCAAAGAAAAGTACCATGGAGCATCATTAAATGTCAAGTCCCCTGGGTTGGTGGATGAGACCAAAGTAAAATCCACACGAGGTCTGCTTCATTCCACGCAGGGCAATAAGGATTTGTCCAAAACATATCTGGTGCTCAAAATATAAAATGGCACCCCAACTAACATGATGACAGTGATGATAAATACTCAGATGATAGCAAGTACTATCTTGTCTTGTGAATGGAATAGTATGGGTATTTTTTTACCCAATGAATGGGATGATTTTATAAAATAAAACAAGGAGGAGGAGGCATACTCCCTTACAACAGAATTGGAAAAAGTCCATTTCCAAGGCCAAACAACGCCAAAAGGAAACTTCTCCGTACGAGATATTAAGATTGAAACAAAGCTAACAGGTCAAGCAAATTTAACTTGTGAAAATGTAAAACATACCAAATGATAGCATTTGCAGCAGCACGAACTTGATCTCTGATTCCATAATGACGAGAGGCATTCCTTTCAGTCCAAATCTTCCAAATGGTAATAGCGAAAACTGAACGCAGCACTTTTGATTTAACATTTTGTCATCTGGTGTTGTAATAAAACCAATCTACAAGACTGTTTAAAGATTGAAAATTCTGAATAGAATGTTCAAACCAATCCCACAGGCATTTCACTAGCTAATTACTCCAAAAAATTATTTCCAATGGCAACCAGGGATAGCTTAATGAGCCTGGTCAGATTATCTTTGCAATGAAAGAGTTTGTTTGAGTTTTAGTAATTATTCATGAAGTAAATTCTTTAGTGACTGAAAGTTCGATCCTAATTCAATGGTAGATTTCAAATCCATTACCCTATCGAAATCTTAGGCAAAAGAATGTTAGTAGTTTTTTCTTCATTTTTTCATATCAGCATTGCATCTTATAATTAGAGAGGTTTTGTTGAAGTCTTAAATACAGTATAAAAAAAGAAAGATTTGTCTTCATTTTTTTTATAAAAAAAAAAAAAATCAGTATTCCTTCTCACAAGTCACAATTAGAGGTATTGTTGGAAGTCTTAAATACAATACGAGAAGCTTTTATTCCCAACTGATCAATAGCAGATGATATCTTGTTAGGAGAGAGATTGTTTCAAAACCAACTACTGCTTAGCTAAATGAACAAATTTAAAGCCGATTAATGAAATTATGAAAGAACTGTTTCCTCTATAGTAACTAAACTGCTAGGCAAGTATATAACATTTTTTATTTATTTTTTTATGCCAACACATGACGATATAAAGAAAAGAATGAGGACCCACCATTTAGTAGCTAGTGTTTTTTGGGGATTCGACTCCCTGGTTGTGTTATATTCAATTTGGGTATTTGTTCTGTGTCATTTACTTTGCAACTTTTGTTGTCTATTTTTTCTCTTAGTATCAAGTTGTTCTTAATCTAAAAGAAAAAAAGCAGCAGTAACGGTTCTGGAAGTCAATAAATTTCTGTGCAGAAATTATACTTCACTGCTATACATTGTCGGTGTCCTTGTTGTGAGTTATAAGTATGTACCAACCTTAGTGAATGCTCAAACCCATCAACTAGCTGTTGCAATTAATGGAAGATGGCCACAATTAATTAATGAAGTCCCAACAATGAAGAATGACAACCAAAATGTTCAAGGCAATGTCCAATAACAGAAAGGTCAGGCGATAAAACCCTGGAATAGAGAAAGAAAACATTGACATTTCTTAAAATAGCTATGAGAAGGTACCTGAAAGTCGAAAGCTACTACGTTAATGATGGTGGGAAGCCCAAAGATCAATGACCGAATTTTGTCACTCCTAAGGTGCAGGACATCGAAGAAGAGAACAATTGTCGTTGGACTGAAATCCGATAACTGCAGCAGACAAATGCTACTCCGGTTACTCACTTTGGCGGTCTTGCCGGGGGACAATGTTCTGGCTGTTCATGTGCAGGAACCAGATGACACCTTCGACACAAATACTTTCCACATTCATGAAGATCTCTGCAAGTCCAAACAGGTTAGAAGATTTTCACCTCATTAGTGAAAGGAAATAATCATACGAAATTCTAAAAAGATATATTTGGATATTTGAGTGTTGTTTTGTTGATGTATTTCCTATTCAGGTGGATTTCCAGGTCAAGATTTGTATAGGAGAGTCCTACATTGCTGAATTAACCAATCAAGTACGAATTAACTTCGCAACAATACTTGTACTCGGTTGCAGCACTCCATGGTATGATCACAGACCTCTCTCCCTCTCTCTAAACACACCCCTATATAGTTATCTATCCCTCTCTCAAGGATGTTTGTTATGCAGGCCCAAAGATTCACTGGTCTCTAATTGCTTTAAAGCATTACCTCCCACTTGTTCTCTTCTGGTAATGGATAATGGGGGAAGAATACTAGTCCAGAAGCCTGGAACTTCCCAGCAAGGCTCCACAAACAGAGTGCTTCAATCGTCTTTGTCATCTGTATCGAAATGCACAAACTGTGACCAGTCAGGAACTGCCCGTCAGATCCAAAAATCATTGACAATGCCATCTTCCTCAACATCATCATCACTACGACAAGCAGAAAATACGAGACAGCACAGTGTTAAGAAAACATTGCAGCTTCCCAGCTTCATGAAACAGAAACTATCTCAAAGACTGGCTAACCTAGAAGCTAAAGAATCCGGAAAGCGCTTCACGTCATCAGAACTTAATGCTGCAACTAATAATTTCAGCCCTGAAATGCTTATTGGAGAGGGTGGGCACAGTAAGGTTTACAGGGCAAACCTTGTTGACGGTGAGGCTGCAGCTGTGAAAGCCCTCAAGACCACACTATCTTCAGCTGAGGATCTCCTTCAAGAAGTGGAAATTCTGAGTGGCCTAAAACATGAGAACATAGTCCAGCTTATTGGTTACTGTTACAGTAAAGAGCTGCATGCTGTAGTCTACAATCTACTAAAGGGAAGCTTGAGGCAGAAATTAAAACATCTCAAATGGAGTGAGAGGATGACAATTGCAATTGGCGTGGCAAAGGCACTGGAGTACCTTCATTCTTTCTCTCCCCCCATCATTCACAGAGATGTGAAGTCATCTAACATTCTCCTATCTGACAATTTCCAACCACAGGTAAGTTCTATGTCAGTTTACATTTACTGGTTTATACTTTTACTAAGTTATACACCAGCAAATGATGCTCGTTTTCAAACTGTAGCTTTCAGATTTTGGAACGGCAATGTTACATCAACAAACTCAGCAAGCTTCAGCATATGCAATGCCATCTCATGTTATCGGAACCTTTGGATACTTAGCCCCGGAGTACATGATGTATGGCAAAATTGATGAAAAGATAGATGTGTATTCTTACGGGGTTGTGCTCCTGGAGCTAATCACTGGGAAAGAAGCTATTGAAACAACCCAGACATCTAATCATGAAAGCTTAGTACTCTGGGTACTTCTCCAAGAGAACATGATTTTTAATTTCGAAAGAAAACTTTTCACCCTAAAGTTCTGAGCATTTATGCCAATTTGACTTGCAGGCAAGGTCTTTACTTAGTCGTGGCCTATGCGAACGCCTGATTGATCCCTTCCTGAATGAAGACTACAGGAAGGATGAGATGAAAGCAATGATGATTGCGGCACGCCTCTGTCTCTTGCATTCATCATCTAGAAGGCCATCAATCAAGACGGTACACTTCTGTTCCTTTTATCAAAGGGGTTTTTGGGACAAACTTTTGTGATAAACATAGTATCACCTCATTTCAATTCTACCACCAATTATATATCATAAATATTTCTTTTCTGTTCACCAAATACCAACCTATAATTGCGGATTAAGAATTCAACTAAAGTAAATCTACTTCAATATAAACTACAGCAATGACAATGAAGTTGAATTTCTACTAATATTTTGATCAATTTTTTCCTTAATGTAAAAAAGGGTGTCATCTATAGATTTATAAATTTGAACACTAAGAATTTTCAATCTACAGTTCAGTTCAAAGCTCCTGTCACTAGATCAATTGTTTTTTTTTTTGTGTGTGTGTGTGTGTGTGTGTTTTTTTTTTTTTTTTTTCTTTTCTTTTCCTTCTTCTTTTGTAAGAGTGAGTACTTACACTTACAGACATGTCAAGTTAAAAATACACATCCAGAACCAATTTTCAAAAACAAGGTTTTTCAGAGTGTGGTTCTGTCTGCAGATCCTGCAGTTATTTGAGGAGCCAGAGCACTGGCTAAATATGCAGAGGAAGAGAGAGGAGCTCATCAATAGGATTAGTTCCACAGGTAAATCAGGGTTGTGGAGACATGACGACTCGGATGCTGATGGACCTTTGGCTGTAGACAATTACTAGTCATTCTTTGTCAACTTATCATTCAGCACGATGTATCAAAATTTGATTACCTGAAATGCCGGAAAGCTTCCCAAATAATTCAAGTTGGGCATCTTCTCATTTAGAAGAAAAATGAAAATATTGCAATGTATAACTTCATGACAGATTAAACCCTTGTAAGACACCCTTAAGATCAGCTCCAGTCCTTCCTCTCTCCTCTTGTAAGAAACCCTTAACTTAAGTTGGGCATCTGCAGCATTTAGAAGAAAAATGAATATTGCAATGTATAACTTCATGACAGATTAAAACCCTTGTAAGACACCCTTAAGATCAGCTCCAGTCCTTCCTCTCCTCTTTGTATTTCACTAACTGCAATGTAAATACAGTAAACCTACGAGGACCAAAAAAGTCTCCTTACTACCAGAGGAAATGAATAAATGAACCATTTGACATTATTTCAATAGCAGTATGCCTGCCAATATATCAAAGCTTTCAACTAGTATTCTAGTTGTGAATGACTTTTTTTGTGATATGTTGTGAACATGAAAAGTGATATTGTAGCAACTCGAGGGGGAACATCTTCTCACAAGTCCTTGACAAGAAAAGAAAGAGTGCCTAGGAGAATTAAGGAATTTATAGCCAATTTTTCAGAAATTCAAATTTAAGAATCACAATTTATTGCAATGAGGAGTCACTCTAAATCAAATTCAATTCTATAAATACCATTTTCAAATGAATATCAGACTTTATAATCAAATGCAAAACACAAAATAAACACTTTTAACTTGGCATGAAAATCCAAGACATCTTCAATCCTGTGAAGCAATATTAAAAGTCTGTATTTGTCCTGAAATTCTATAGGCATTAAAACCTTTTCATCTTCCTAAATTCTGAAAATAGATTCTCAGCATTTTTTTTTGTAAAGTTAATAGATTCCCATCATAGTTCATAATGTCTCTTTTAAGTCCATTTTCATCTTTCTAAATTCCGTAAATAGACTCTCATCATTGCTATGTAGTATATTGTTCATAATGTCTCTTTAAGTCCATATAACATCTGTCCAACATGGGTTGTAGCAATTCAATATGTGACTTGCTCCATGTAATTGTATAACAAAAGGATAAATGCAAAAAAGCAAAATAGATTCATGATTCCTATAAAAGCCTGGTATTTTTCTTTACGAAGTTGAGATATGCATACATACCATTCCACAATCTTGTATTTACTTCTGATGGGAGGATCTGATGAAGTCCAAACAGGAGCGCTAGAAGCCACTTTGTGTAAAATTTATCCGTCTCCGGTCATCTCTAACAGCACCCCACCTAGGCTGGACCAGGAATAGGTGATGGCCATGTATATCATGCTCAGAAATTTTTATATAATTTTACCACCAAATGCAGCAGAGAAAAGGGTATGCGCACAATAATGTAGTTTCCCTGGTTGCAATTTCACTTTCACACCTGCTTTTAACTACAGTTGTTAAACTCAACATCTATGATCAGTCCATAAATTTGACTACAAATTTTCAATTCAAGCCTACAAGGCTTTAGATATGAAGAGAAAATATGATTCTTTACGAGAATATTTCTCCGAATTCACACAAAAAAAGTTAAATTGGCATGAAGTGTAAACAATTTACAGGGATCAACCTCAAACCTTAATTTAGCATGCCTAAGACTATGGAATCTAAAACCTAAGAGAAAATGAAACGTTGAAAACACACATGCATTATAAAATCTCATAAAGAACCAATGAAAGGGTTTCCAATCTGCATGAAATTAAGATGTGCGACCAAGAAATATCTCAAATGATATGATCGAGTGCTGAATACAAGACTACTCTTGCAAATCATTTTATAATTATGCTAATATAGTCCTAACCTTACCTCTCAATACTTTAAAAAGGATATCAAAATGAAAAGAAAAAATATATATATATTGTTGAGGCTGAAATTCGCGCAGTCCGATATGATACCGTTTTCCTGCAAGGAAGAGAGGAGAAGATCGATGAACCTTGACGGCACCGGTGTGGTGCCTGCCAAGAGCTCTCCGACGATCAAATTAGTCACGGAGGTCTAAAAAGAAGGCAGGGATTAATAATAGTTTTTACGTCGTACCTTCTTTAATGGCTTGATGCCCTATTTATGGCTGTCGATTGGAATCAAAATCGTTCCGCTGATATCGATGGTTGACCTTATCTTCCGCTTGTGCAAAATCATAGGAGATTTATTACCAAATTTGTCGGGATATGATTTAATCCTTTTAACCTCCTCTAGTTATAGTAGGATTATTCTTACTTGTTGAACCACGTCAGATTTGATTTCATTATCCTTGATAATGAAATCTAATCAATCTTATCGAGGGTAGGATAGGTTTATATTTTTCCCTATCAGTTGCCCCCCATTCCCAAACTTGCACGTCTAGCTTTGGGAATGTAATAAATAATAATAATACTCTTTTTTTTTTTTTTTTCACCCGAGGGAACAGTACCCTCGGGGTACTGTTCATGAACAGTACCCTCGGGAACTGTTCCTGAATAGTTTCTTCTTTTTTTTTTTTTTTTTTTACCCGAGGGAACAGACCCTCGGGTACTGTGCATGAACAGTACCCCGCGGGTACTGTTCATGAATAGTAATAATAATTTTTTTTTTTTTTTTCACCCGAGGGAACAGACCCTCGGGTACTGTGCATGAACAGTACCCCGCGGGTACTGTTCATGAATAGTAATAATACTTTTTTTTTTTTTTTTTTCAACCCCGGTGAATAGTAACTAAGGGTTTTTTTTTTTTTTTTTTTTAAACCCGAGGGAACAGTACTTTTCCTTTTATAAGGGAATAAATTATACGAGTTTCGTCCCTTTAGTAAGGGAATTGAACTTTACGAGTTTTACCCAGCTCACCTCTTTAATAAAGGATTTTTATTTACTATCCCTTATTGTAAGGGGATATTAATTATGGGATTCATCCAACCCAGGTCATTGTAGTCCAGGACATTCATTTATTATCCTCATATTACAGGAATATGGATTACGGGATTCATTTAACCCGGGTCCTGATAATACAAGATACTTATCCCCTATAGTCCAGGGATATGGATGACGGGATTCATTCAACCCGGGTCCTTGTAATACATGACACTCATTTACTATTCCCTTTTAGTACGGGGATACGGATTACGGGATTCATTCAGCCCGGGTCCTTGTAATACATGACACTCATTTACTATTCCCTTTTAGTACGGGGATACGGATTACGGGATTCATTCAGCCCGGGTCCTTGTAATACAGGACACTCATTTACTATCCCTTATAGTACGGGGATACGGATTACGGGATTCATTCAGCCCGGGTTCTTGTAATACAGGACACTCATTTACTATCCCTTATAGTACGGGGATACTGCACGTATAAACTAAAAGGAATTTTATTAAAGACCATCATTATTAAAAACAAAATAACACGTGATGGAGCTACCCTCCATTTAAACTGATTAACTGAGATGCCCCCAGTCTTTATTGTGAATGACTTGATAAGGCTAATTCCAGTCGCGAGATAATTTCTAGTCGGTATACTCATCTGAGTCATTCTCATGATATGTGCTGTCACTCTGGCTAAAGAACGATTTCTTATATTTGGTATTATTTTCATCCCTGACGAGAGGGGCTGGCCTCTTCTTGTCCTCTCCTTCCTTCCGTGCACTCATGGTGTCTTCAGCGTTGATGTGTTTTTGCGCTCTGATTAACAACTCTATCATGCTGGTGGGAGGTTCTTTTGATAAGGAGAACAAGAATCTGGAGGTTTGGAGTCCTCCTATGAAAGCGGTCAAAGCTACCTTGTCGTCCGCCTCTTCTACTTGCAACATCTCTACGTTGAATCGGGTGATGTATTCCCGAATCGACTCTTCCTTTTGTTGCTCCACAGTAAACAGGTAGGTAGCCGGCCTCCTATGCCTCTGACCTGCAATGAAGTGGCTCACAAACTGCTTACTCAATTCTTCGAAGGTGTGGATGGTTCCTGGCTTCAACTTGTTGAACCAAACTCTCGCTGATCCCTTAAGTGTAGTGGGAAAAGCTCGGCACATGATTTCATCTGGCACAACGTGTAACTGCATAAGAGCTTGAAAAGTTTCTAGGTGATCGAGGGGATCTTTGGTCCCATCGAAGCTTTCGAACAAGGGCATCCTGAACTTGCTAGGTAGTGGATATTTCATAACGGTGGGGCTGAAAGGCAAGTTGGTTCTTTGTACCAGGTCGTTTACGGTGGCAGGACATTTCCCTTTCATAGCCTGCATTACATCTTCCATTTTCCCCTTGAGATCCTTGATCTGCAAGTCGAGATGGGTAACTTTCTTTGTCTTTTCCTTAAGACAGAAGGCTATGCTTTCAGGAGGTCGGGAACTCCGTAGGAGAGATAGGTGAACCACCTCTCTATGTCGGGTTCCCACCTGGCTTTGTTCCACTTCAGTCTCATTTTGGGGGGAATGATTATCCCTCTCTTCAAGATTTTCATTACCTCCGTTTGGACCTGAGATATCTTGTCCTGGAAAGTTTTGTTGAGCCGGTGGAACAAGGTGTTGCAAGAGCGTTGCATTTTGTTGGATCAACTGGTTCATACCCTGACTCAGAGTTTGAACCTGTAGTTCCAACGCTGCAAGCCGTGCCTGGTCGTTTGGGACGTCTAGGTTTTCACCCGACTTTACCCTTTGACCAGATCCCTGCGACGATGTTCCTTCGGTAACCATACCGGACTGCAAACGTATATACCCAACGAGTAATTAATTGATTCAAGGGAATCGTGATTCCCACAGATGGCGCCAACTGTTGAGGCTGAAATTCGCGCAGTCCGATATGATACTGTTTTCCTGCAAGGAAGAGAGGAGAAGATCGATGAACCTTGACGGCACCGGTGTGGTGCCTGCCAAGAGCTCTCCGACGATCAAATTAGTCACGAAGGTCTAAAAAGAAGGCAGGGATTAATAATAGTTTTTACGTCGTACCTTCTTTAATGGCTTGATGCCCTATTTATGGCTGTCGATTGGAATCAAAATCGTTCTGCTGATATCGATGGTTGACCTTATCTTCCGCTTGTGCAAAATCATAGGAGATTTATTACCAGCTTTGTCGGGATATGATTTAATCCTTTTGACCTCCTCTAGTTATAGTAGGATTATTCTTACTTGTTGAACCACGTTAGATTTGATTTCATTATCCTTGATAATAAAATCTAATCAATCTTATCGAGGGTAGGATAGGTTTATATTTTTCCCTATCATATATATTTCTATTAACGGTTGAAGAGACAAGTATTGTTCATTAAATAATGCACCGAAACAATAACTAAATAAATATAGGAGTCCATAAAAATTCACTAGCCATGGGTTATAAGAATTTTCCATTATGCAACATTGAAGAGTAGTTGTTGGACACTATACATTGGAGTCGCACAAAAAAAGGATGGCACATACATTACATGTCACAGAGCGGGGGTGTGAAAACGTGAAAACAAACAAAGCTAAGTCACAAAGAGAGCAAGTGCCAAGTGTGAGAGTAAAAAATTATGTGGCTAAGGGTATTTGTACGACATACATACAATATTGTGAATTCGTGAGTCATTTCTGGCCACAAAAAATCAACACATTGTATGGATAATTCATAATCAGCTGTACAAAAGTGACAGAAAATAACAATATTGGATGGGATTTCTTATCCCAACCATCTTTTATTTGGATTACAGAGCATAAATCTTTTTGCCCCTCTCTCTCCCACATCACTGAGACTACACTCAGTCTTTCCTCATCTCCCCAACCAAAATAACTTACAAAACCCAATCTCTGAGCACCAAACCCTACCATGGACGCTCTTTTCGTGAACCCCTCTCTATCTCGCCTCAAACTCTCCCCCAAACTCACTCTCTCTTCCCCACTTTCTCTCTCCTCCCAACCCCTCCGTCTTCGAAACCCTCATCCCCTTAATCTCTCAATAGCTCCACTCGAAAATCAACAACCATCATCACCACCGCCTCCAGAATTTCAAGTCTACGACGAGGGCGAATCATACGGCGAAGTCAACAAGATCATCGGTAGCAGAGCCCTCCAAGGTGGGACCGGCATGGAGTACCTCATCGAGTGGAAGGACAATCACGCCCCTACGTGGGTCCCATCCGATTACATCGCCAAGGACGTCGTCGCAGAGTACGATACCCCTTGGTGGACAGCCGCCAAGAAAGCAGACGACGCCGCTCTCAAGCAGCTCATCGACTCCGTAGACGACGACAGGGACGTCGATGCCGTCGATTCCGACGGCCGCACCGCCCTTCTGTTTGTCGCCGGCCTCGGCTCTGAGCCGTGCGTTCGGCTGTTAGCCGAAGCCGGTGCCGACGTCAACCACCGCGACAGCAGCGGCGGCTTAACGGCTCTCCATATGGCAGCCGGCTACGTCAAGCCGGGTGTAGCGAAGGTTTTGATCGAGTACGGCGCGGATCCAGAGGTTGAGGATGAGAGAGGACGTACGCCGTTGGATCTTGCGAGGGAGGTTTTGAGATCGACGCCCAAGGGGAATGCAATGCAATTTGCTAGAAGATTAGGGCTCGAGAATGTCATTAAGGTATTGGAGGAGGCAATATTCGAGTACGCGGAGGTGCAGGAGATACTAGAGAAGAGAGGGAAGGGTGATAATCTTGAGTATTTGGTCATGTGGAAGGACGGTGAAGATAACGAGTGGGTCAACGCCAGATTGATTGGTGAGGACTTGGTGAATGACTTTGAAGCTGGGTTGGAATATGCTGTGGCGGAGTGCATAGTAGGGAGGAGAGATGGTGAGGATGGGAAGAAAGAGTATTTGGTGAAATGGTCGGATATAGAGGAAGCCACGTGGGAGCCGGAGGAGAATGTTGATCCTGATTTGATCAAGGAGTTTGATGAGGTGGGCCAGAGGGATGGGCTTAGAAATGACGTGGAGGCCCAATTAAAGTAGTGGCAAACCATGAACATAATTTGATTTTGGTTATGGTTTTGATCTACCTCTTATTTTCGACATGGAGGATTATTGTTGTTGTAGAGCTACACTTAAGTAACTTGAATAGTTAATCCCTTTTTTTTTTCTATTGATTTATTTGTAATTTTAAAGTTGTTTTTTCTTATTCTTGTTTTGTTTAAAATATTTTATGTGATGAAACTCATTTTGAAGCTAACATTCTTCCAAATTATCACTAGGCTTTGAGATTGATTATGTCTACAATAAATATTTAATAAGATCGAATAAAATATATATATTTTTTCTTCAAGACAAGAAAGTCACACAACCCGTGTCCTAATTTTGGCTCTTTGTTAATTTTGGCTCTATGAGATTCAAACTAGGATTTTCTTTTCCTTCTCCTTTTGAATAACTCAGTTAACAACAACAATTACATTTATGTGAGTCGTAATTATCAACATATTTAATAACTTTGGACTATTTTATCATTCTTCTTACATGTTTAGGAAGAGTGTGCCACCATGGGTTGTTGGCTCAAATAGTCCAAAGTTATTAAATATAAGAAATAACTTTGGACTACCTCTTATTTTCTAACTGGGTCGTCGTTTTTTGCGACCCAAAAAATGGGGCCCATATTTTGGAGATCTGTTGGACTAACCCAATTGCCAGAAAGGATCCAGAACTTTTAAAAAGAGGGCTCTTGAGCTGCTCTTACGGTCCAATTTGAAATTTTCAACTTTTTAAATTTCCATGTATATAATGTATTGTTGCCTGTTCAAAATATTAAAACTACCCTTTTGAATTATAGTGTTTGTTAGGGTAAGTTTTAAAAAAAATGAGAATATTTTAAAAAATATATAATATATATGTGTTTAAGTCCAACTCTTTGGTTGAAAAATTGAATTTAAAATAAGTTGTGCTTAACAATGCTATTTTATTCAATAAGTTAAAAGACTTAAAATATCAGCAAAATAACTTTTATTCCGTGAATCTAAGTGATAAATAAGGGTCTCACTTGAATTAAGGTAAGATATATTGGTTTAGTGTTTTAGGTTTAATTTATTGACTTAAATATCAATTTTCCTAAAATAATTATTCAATGACGATAAATTATGGAAGAATGTTTTTCATTTTAAAACTAATGAAGCGCGTGAGTAGAAATTAAAATAAGAATAAAAGAACACAGAAAGGGAAGCAAGCGTGAAGGAAACGCATCCTAAACCGCGGGATTAAACCTCGGAATTCAGAAACTGACAAAACAAACCCATTTGAGAATTGAGATTTCGTGTCTCGTTTCTCAAGAAATTTCAGTAATTTAGTGAAGCTAGCAAACCAAGAAAAAAGGTCTCTGTTTCTACTTCTCCCTCCGCAGAGCATATGCTAGCTGTTACTACTTCCCTTTTCAGACCAATGTGATAAATATACTATTTCCATCCACAAAATCAAAAACCCTATCTCTATCTCCATATATATACATATATACATATATAGGTAGTGTTGATGGCGGTGACAATGCATGTGAAATCGGACTCGGAGGTGACCAGCATTGACGCGTCGTCGCCGCCGCGGTCTCCACGGCGGCCGTTGTACTACGTGCAGAGTCCGTCGCAGAACGATGTGGAGAAGATGTCTTACGGGTCGAGTCCGTTGGCGTCTCCCACCCCCAACTACCACTACCACTGCTCGCCGATTCAACACTCGCGCGAGTCCTCCACCTCCCGATTCTCCGCCTCCCTCAAAAACCCTAATAGCAGACACCTTGCGACGTGGAAGAGGATTCAGCCGAGGCACGACGGCGACGAAGGCGAAGACGACGACGACAGCGACGGCGAGAACAACGAGAAACACTTGAGATTCTATGTGCTGTGCTTCGTCTTGTCATTTGTGGTGCTGTTTACCATCTTTTCTTTGATTTTGTGGGCTGCGAGCGTCCCTTACAAGCCCAAAATCTTTGTCAAGGTGAGTTGGGTTCTTTATTTTTGCTAACTCATCAGTCTTCCGAGTCAGCTAATTGACTCGGGGTAAGTTTTTGGGTTGTGTGCCGTTGTGGAGGGTGTGAAACCGACCGTTACTGAACTGATTATGAAGGTCTTCCGAGTTGACTCATTTAATTGGTCACGTGACATTCAGGTTCAATGTAATGTTTTTTTTTTTTTTTTTTTCGAAATTTAGGTTCAATGCAATGTTGTTAACCAGTAGTTACACGTCTGTGCACCATTCAAATGGCGTCCGAGTCAACTCAGTGGTCAAGTCACGCGACTGTCACTGCCCCCATTGAAGGGGAATGAAATTAAAGTTATTTGTGGTATTTTTTTTTTAACCAATATATGTGGTATTTCGTTTTTCCAATTTGATTAGGGAAATGAAGTAATGTTATTGAAAATCGCAGAACACGGTGTTCGAGACTTTTAATATTCAAGCGGGAATGGATGGGACAGGAGTGCAGACCGATATGCTGACTTTGAATTCGACGGTGAAGATCTTTTTCAGGAACCCAGCCACATTCTTTGGGGTCCATGTCACAGCTACCCCTCTTGAACTTCATTATTACCAGCTCAAGGTCGCTTCTGGACATGTAAGTAGTACAATCTTTCATATTCGGTAATTATCTTCATAATTATATCACACAAATTCTTAGTTTAAGTTATTCCACACTTGTTCATTAGGATTATCTTAACTTTTTAATAAATCATTCCCATTCATAGTTAACACATTCTATATTATATTGCTGATTACTGACGTGATATTGCTAATTAATTAAATATTGACATGTGGTGTGACACTAGTCTGAATATGTGGTGAATATAAATGTTATGTAACCTTCATGGATATTTCAATAATTTTAAGAGAATAATCAGACATAAAATGAGAAATTATAGACTGGGTTCAATATTTTGCACTCCTATTCAAATACCATCAATTTGAAATACCATAATTTTTGGTTGAGACTCTGGAGAGTAGTGTAGCACTGACACCTACCTTGATAGTTGTGCTTTTGAAGGCTGCAAAGACTGCAGTACACATTCATGTCTTGGTCTGAGTGAATTACAGGGGTTGTTTGGCTGTGCCCTGCATGTTGCCAATATTTGAAGGTGTCATCCTTGAATTCATGGAACCAATAACTTCACATGGGATTCATCTAATTTACCAAGTTAAATTTGCTTATGGTAATGCTATGATACCCGAGTCAGTTTTTTGGTGACTCTAATCATTGGTGTCCAACAAGGACTCTCACACAATAATCAATAAGATAGAGAGAGACTTCTTTTATTACGTTTCAATCAATGTTTGACACCTCAGTTGGTTTTAATAACTGGTTCGACGCTTTTATCATTTTCCATTTGCTTATTGTGGCACAAAATTTAGGATATTTTTCTAAATTTTCACCCCCAAAACATGGTAGAATCCTCTGATAGGGAGGACAATTAAAGTTTGATTCAAATGACTATCACTCATAAACTAGCTGCTATTCATGATATTGCAAGTGATATGGTGGGTTCTGATTTTAAGTTCCTTATAATCCATTTCTGTGAGAACTGTATGACCTCTACAGACAAAGTTATGCCCTATGGGGGGGATCAATTCATGTGTGTGACATAAGGACTTCCCTAATATTAATTTTAGATCTAACTTTTAACAGCTGGTTAGCTGTTTAATTCTTTATTTTATATATTATTGTTCTTCTTTCTCAAAGGCTAAAGGTTACCTTCCTCTCTAAGTACCATAAACACTAGCCATGTCTACACCATGACATTCCTTGAAAAAATTTATGCACTCCTTGGATGTTTTCATGATTGAAAATGAACTATAAGTTTGGACACTTGGCCAATCACAAACATCAAGAACAGTTTTCCATAAGTTGAGCATGAATTGGGACTTTTTAATATAGGAAAATGATGTCTTTTTTTATTTTATTTTATTATTATTTTTTTAAAAATATATGTTAGGAGATTCGTAATTATAGGCATAGTTAAAGGCCCAAGGCGCTAGAGGTCCTTTGGAGCCTAGGCGCGAGGCGTGCACCTGAATGAAGTGAGACGCATAATTGAAAATTTAAACTGCCATTATAACATTCATATCTCATAAGTTATATTCTAAAAATTACTATCAAATATAAAAAAGTAAATCCATCAACTATACAAGCATCCAACAACCATAAAATAGAGCACAAATTTGTTTTCTTGAAAGGCAAAGCAAAATGTGTTTTTTGAATGGCAAAACAAAGCACAAAAAGAAATATGTTAACCAAAAAAAAAAAAAATTTGTTAACAAGAAAAAAGAAAAAGAAAAAAAAGAGCAAAAAAAAAAGAGGCATACAGATGAGAGAACTAGACGAAGAAAGAGATGTAAATAAAGATAATAAGAGAGGAGAGATCTAGCGGAGAAGAGAGAAAAAAAAGAACTGACGTGGCTTCGTCGTTCATCTCTGCAACTAGGGCTTCGTTTTCGTCTCACAATCTCATTTTATCGTTGTTTGGTTAACACTTTGACTCTTAGGCTTTCTTATTTTTTTTATTCTTTTGAACAAAAGTTCCTTATATCGTATGATTGAGCTTTCTTTTTTGTTTATGCAGTTGCCAAAAGTACCCTTTTTGGCTTAAGAAATAGAACAATTGTATTTTTTTAAATAAATATCAGTGAGGTGCGCCTAGGGGCACCTCACAAACAGGACGAGGCGCAACCGAGGCACGCGCCTAGTAAATATCAGTGAGCCTGGGATGACAACAGGCGCTAAACCTGAGCCTCAAGCCTAGGCGCGCCTTTAACAAAACTAATTATAGGTTGTACAATATCATTATTAAGTATATTACTTACCCAAAAAAGTATTATTAAGTATTGATACTTGTCACTTTATCTTCCACATTCCGCAAATTTAATTAATCAGAGTTTATATATATATATTTATACTCCCCTATATGCATATATGTACTATGCACACACACATATATTAATATTAGTGTCTTATTGCGTCCTAATTTCTTCTAGGAGTTCTGTATTCATTTTTTTTCCCTTGTATGTATGCGCACGCACACAAATAAATGTTGGGCTTGCATCCATTTCCATAACTGTTAGTGTATTGCTGCGTCCTAATTCTGTCACAGGAGTTGTGTATTCATCTATTTTTCCCTATATGGATGTACACATACATATGGTTGTTGGACTTGGATCTATTTACATAAACGTTAGTGTGCTGCTGTGTCCAAATCTTGTCACAGGGGGCCATTCTTGCTGTGTTAATGTGCTATTTTTTTTTTTTTTTTTTAGGATCTTATTTGTTTTGTCAGAACACAATACCCTCTCATTGTCCCATGTTTGAAATCTATGTTACTTGTGCTCCTCCGAAGTGATAAGCCCACCTGTGATTATTTATGTGAAAGTATTTTGTTCTTACACAGGATCATTCTTGAACTTTTCTTCTTTCCATATAGTGCTTATTTCTTTATTTCATTGATGAACAAATTAAATAGGTGAAAAAGTTTTATCAGTCAAGGAAGAGTCAGCGGATGGTAGTAGCAGTGGTTCTAGGGAATCAAGTCCCACTGTATGGTGGTGTTCCATTCCTTAATGGTGCAAAAGACCACCTTGGGAGTGTATCAGTGCCACTGAATCTGACGTTTGTGATGAGATCAAGGGCCTATGTCTTGGGAAGACTTGTAAAGCCAAAGTTCTACAGGAGAATCCGCTGTGGATTTACTTTTAAAATCAACCGATTAGGCAAGCCTCTCAATTTGACGAAGTCTTGTATCTATGAGTGAGGTTCTACCTCTTTCTGGATACATCTCTAACATCTGTTTAACTGTTAACTATACTGCTTTATTCTTTAGTTGCAATTACCTCTTAAACATTTTACACGTCGTTTTTGATGCTTTTGATAGCATGGTATATATATTATAATTCATCTTAGATTTTTAGTTTTCATATATGCAATTGTTGTAGGAAACAAGTATGTGTTGCACTTTGGTTACCTCTGTTGGGGTGCTTTCGTTCATAGTAATGCTTAGACAATGTAATGGATATGAACCTTCCCATCCAGTTTTATCACAGAACTTAGTGTCCCATTCTAGATTGCTAAATTTGGATTTTGAGACTGTTCTGTGCCATGTCTCTCCAACGAAAATTGTGAGAATGCTTAGACTATGTGACGGATATGGACCTTCCCATCCAGTTTTGATCACAGAACTTAGTGTCTGTTGTGGATGCTAAAATTGGGGATTGAGACTGTTCTGTGCCATGTCTCTCCAATAAAAATTGTGTCACAACTGTATTTGTACAATCAGCTGCATTGCTATTTAAGGCAGGGGCTTTTTCATTAGAGCTTTTAGATGAGAACGAATAGTTTCACCTTTTCAATGGTGATACACTTTATATGGTTTAAACTATTTGCTAATGGATATGCAAAGTACTTAGATGTAGCCGTGTTAGTGTAACTTCCATTTGCGGGACTGTCCAGGAATACTTTGAACTTTTCTGGCCTTTAATGTGTCTAAGAACTAGCTGCCTCGTTTGTCTTGGAAGAAAAAAGAAATTTAGTTTAAAAATGGATGCCGTTTTATTATGAAAAAAAGCGAACATGAGGTCTTTTTTGTTATGATTGCACAGTTGATATGATCCGTCAGCGGAACTGTTGCATAAATTGAGGTTACTGAAACTTGCATAAAATGTCTATCAAGTGTGTTTTGTGTGTGAGAACTATAAAGTATCAGTGAAGAATTTACTATGACAGAGAGCGAACATGAGGTCTTTTTTGTTATGATTGCACAGTTGATATGATCTGTCAGCGAAACTGTTGCATAAATTGAGGTTACTGAAACTTGCATAAAATGTCTATCAAGTGTGCTTTGTGTGTGAGAACTATAAAGTGTTTCTTCAGTGAAGAATATTTAGGATGCTGTTTTACTATGACAAAAAGCGAACATGAGAATGTCTTTTTTGTTATGATTGCACAGTTGATATGATCTGTCACCGAAACTTTTGCATAAATTGAGGTTAATGAACTTGCATAACATGTCTATCAAGTGTGTTTTGTGTGTGAAAACTATGAAGTCTTTCATCAGAGTGACAGTATATTTATCTTGTGCTGCAAATGTGATAGGTGTGAATGAAAGTTGATAAAATTAGGGGAAAATGTTTCTCATCTTTTATATCTTGCATAGATTGCTGTGTTTCCCTTGCCCCTTTTCTATTTGAAACAATCTATCCCTCCAATTTAAAGGTGACACTAAATCCACAGGCATTTTTTTAGCTTGGGATTTTTTACACAGTTGAACATGGAAAACATATATAAGCATTTCTGGATTAAAAAAAGGCTAAAATAAGCTTTGTTGCCAAAACATACCAACGGCATACACCTAAAAGCAAAAAAACATAATACATGAAAGCAAATTCACACAAGCAGGTGAAGCACTTGTACAAGCCGAGAAGAAAATGAACAAAACCTAACAAGCAAGCTACATAGCGATTACAATAGCACACTTCCTAACTGAGTCCCACATCAGTTCTCCTCCTCCTACTCTTCTTTACCATTCTTATGGCATCCAGGTAGTTTGTCTTTAATTTTCTCCAGTATTCCTTTCTTCTCCTTTGTCTCATCTGCAATACACTCATGCAGAGCCGCAGGAGTGCCATCTTCAGCTTTTTTGTGCTGTCCCGGAAGTTTTTCTTTGATCTTGTCTAGAAAACCTTTCTTCTCCTCCGCCTGTGTCCCTTCTGCATTTCCAGTGTCATTGCACTTAAGTGGCGGGGAACTGTCTTTAGGCTCACTAGCCCCCTCTTCCTTTTCACGTGACATCTTTTCTTTGATCTTCTCTTTTAGACCTTTCTTCTTTTTCTTCTTCTCTCCTCCTCCATCTTCCTCGTCACTAGACTGAAATTCAAGCAGCAAAATAATTTGAGAAAACAAATATGAAGCTATATATACTGTTATTACGTTACGTTCACTCACAACAGATACATACCGAGCTAGAGTAGCTATGAGATCGATGGAGCTCTTCCATAAGTTTTGGCTTCTTTTTCTCTATGGGGTCTGATCCGTCTGTTGTATCGATCATGACTGCATCCTCTTGGGACTTGCCTTCCTCCTTCTTTCCCAAGAAATCAAACATTCCGCCGTCTCTCGTTTCTACTGGAAACTTTGTGGTAGTCTCGCTTCGATTTCCTTGAGGGCGTGGTTCTGTCATGCTGCTGATGTTAGGAGTTTCGGTAAAAAGAAGATAAAGAGAAAACAGACAATGTTAGCACAATGCTTAATAAGAGTTTAGAGTGTGAGTGATGGTATTGAGGGTTGAGTGGTGTTTTATGTTGCAAAGAGCTGGTTTTTATAGCGGCAGCTAAGAGAACATATTGTCGAGGGCCGAGGCAACTAGATATAGATATGTTCTATTGCATGTGCTTTGCAAAATTTTCCATTGATCATAAACTTGAATGAATAAATGAATTAGCTTTTGGAGTGGGAATGTGTTAACATGATATACTATATTAGCAATGGGATGTTACATATTGAAGAATACAAGATAAAATAGAGATGCTACTACATTGGCATCGAGTGAAAATGCGTACCAATGACATTGGAAAGGGCTTGCAAGTGTTCAACTGTCGAACATCGGGAGGAGAAAACTAAGAGGGGTCGTTGTGGACGGTTTGCACGAATCAAGATGTACCACGTGTTCGGTCAGACTCGGGATTTTTGAGACAAAGATGTTGTTAATACAGTGTGTATGGAATTGGTTTAGGATTCTATTATCCCTATGTTGTATAGTATTGCATTGTCCTGAGCTGCTTCTTGTCATGAAAACAACTAAACAGCTTTGATGATTAACACTTTTTAGTCCTATATGTCTTCAGGCAAATAAACTTAACTCGGTAAAACATCCATTCACACCCTGTTTCGAACCAGAAATATCTATCTCTGCTGACATGCTTATAGCACAAGAATATGGTTTCTTTGCTTAGAAGATTAGGATTCTTCAAAAGGAATGAAAATTGGTGTCTCATTTTTATCTTGGATTTGAGTTCTAAGGAATCAGACCTATCCACATCCAAACGATGTGGAATTGTGCACCTGTAACTCGCCCCCGCTTTTGACTCACCCAGACCAGAGACTTCCCAGGGAGTCACCCATCCTGGTACTACTCCAAGAGTTAAGTACACTTAATTATAGAGTTCTGATAGGTTCACGGCCATCACGGCTTTAAAACGCGTTGTGTCATAGAAGGGTGTTGAATCTACATATAGCACTTGCCCCATCCACACCCAGACGATGTGGGATTGTGTACCTGTAGCTCGTCCAGTGTGGTAGCCTACTGGTGCTCCCTGCACACGCTCACACACACCCGCCCACAAGGTCGCCACATTCTGGATTGACGAGGCTTATGTTGCATTTGGAAGCATCACTTTAAAATTAAAATTTGAAAAAATTTAGTTCAAACTTGTATCGCAATTTTCAGCTTTAGCAATATTACAATATTAGTAGTACATTGGATTTAGGGTGTCCTTGGTGGAGCAACCAGAAGACAGATTTTGGAGCCGACCAAGTTACTTAATTAGTAAGCATGCCACAATGGTTCCAAGACCTTGGGTGCCTCAGCTCTTAGTATATATTGATAGTTGCAAAAGGATTCCTGGCTGCCCAACTACCGAGGTGACCTTCACTTTATCAAGATGATTAATATAAGGCTTTCCATCATTCTTATTTTTATTTTTATTTTTATTTTTAACTTTAAAAATGGCTAGAATTTATTGAACTCACTTAACTGTTTGTATTTACGAAAATTCAAATTATCTTTCACTTTGGGACATGAGCAAAGCCGGTGGGTGCCCGGGGCACATGCCCCTGCCCACTACAATATTTAGTTAATATTTGATTTATTTGTGTATGTGTGTATATATATATATATATGAAATTTTCAATATAATGCCCCCCTCAAATTTGTAATTTCTAAAGTTATCTCTTAATTTTTTTTCTTTTTACTCTTTAAATTCCTTTGATTTTCTTAAAAAAAGTTTATATTTCTCTTTTTTAATTAAACTCTAATTTTTTTCTTTTCAAAGATCTCAATTTTCTTTCCTCCTTCTTCTTCGTCTTTTTTGTTTCCTACTTAGAATCTTTTTTCTATCCTTTTTCTCCTTCTTTTTTCTTTCCAACTTCTTAAAATTATTCTTTTTTACTTACGTAAGATGTATGTAATATGTAATTTTTTTTTTCTTTATAAAGTCCATGGATATAATTTTCATACATTACTTTCAAAATCCAATTATTTTAGTTCTTATATTAGTCAAATATTTATAGTTTTTTTGTGAAGAAGAAGGAAAGAAGCAGTGAAGAAAAAGTGAGATCTTTCATCATCCAACTTTGGAAGATTGCTGCAATTTAAGTCATCCACTTGCAGGAGACAAGCTCATGCTACCACATCCAATTTAAAGATCATGTGTAGCACTGAGTTAGTGCATTGTTGACAAATGATCTACTTAAAACCAGATTTCCACACAACTTTCGATCTTTGTCTTAGCTTTTAAAATAAAATATAAAATCACTTCACCTATAATCACAAACACATGCCTCGACTGTTCTTCGCAGTACCAAATTGTAGTTCTTCAAACTCAGAAAAAGCTAATCTTTGATTATTATTATTATTTTTTTTGGTAGGTATTAACTTCTCTGGTTAGTTATATGTCTTTTGATTAATACAAAGTGATATAAATGCATAAATTCAGCAGATTCGTTAGTACTATTCAACAACTTTCATAGTAACCTCAAATATGATAATGGGGAAAAATGAGTTAGTACTATTCAACAACTTTCATACATTGTTCTCTATGATATATGCCCTTACTTAGTAAGGGTTGAAGAAATTGGCATCTAAACCTCTGCTCACCACATTCCACACACCTCCAGCAACTATCAAGAAGCTTAACGTCACGCCTAAACAGCCAAGCCCTAAGTTAAGGCACCACATTGCACCATGTGGACGGGGTTTGTTGATCGCCATCCACATGAAACATGGGTAAACAAAGGTTAAAGGCAGTGCGATCCCTCCAATGATAGGTGCCAGGCTTGACAAGAATGGGAAAGTCACGGAGATGAAGAATGTCACTCCCCCAAAGAAGACTTTGAACCCTGAGCGGAGCCATTTTGGACACGGCTTGTTTTTCTTGGTGACGTATATGCGCTGCAAGTTGTCTAACACTGGCATTGCATAGATTTGGTATAGACTTGCACAATTAATGAATACTATTACATGTATTAAGCCCATCACAAACTTTGAGGTGTTGTGTTTATGGAATTTCAAGAACGCGCTCAACATCCCTGCAGTCGCAGCTTTCTGGCCCAACTTCCCTCCATTTGCTATCTGGCATTATTAGTTCAAGCCACATCGTTAATTGCTTGAGATCATTTTGCAGTTGCTTTACACATATGGAAGTATATGAGAGAAATCTTTGAAGCTAAAGGAAAATCAAATCAAAGCAAATGTTGCTTACCGCGTTACCATAAGCCCAATATCCACCTATTGCAAGGGGAAACATACACAATGAAATCAGCAGATACGACATTTTCACTCCTCTCCACATTGGTTTAACTGATGAATGTTTTGGACTTGAAGGCATTGTCCCCTGCATCAATATAAGAAACAACACTATAATTTGCTGCAGTTTTACAATAATTAGTAGCAATTAGAGGTAACCCATGTCGGGACACCTAAGGTTAGACCAGGGCAGTGGTCTGAACAACAGGCCGGATCAACAGCACTGTGCTGTACAGTAGTGGACGGCCACCAACACTCACATGTATGGCACGATCAATTGCAGTATAGCACGTGTGCTATACGCCAGAGGATCTGGACTCCTAAACAACTTCAAAATAACCAAAATTTGGACTCAAATGACTCACGATTGAATGATTTACCTGTATTTCAAGCACAAGATTGTGACCTCTGAAAGAAAGAGCAATGAGCCCGATGGCATTCAGTACACCTCGAATCCTATCCATGTCAGTTGAGGCTGTCTTAGATGGATCATAAGTTATGCCATCAGGCCTACCCTTTGCAATTGGCATAACCCACAACAGTGTGCAATATACAATAGCTGTTATTGCACCAATCACTGAAATCCCAGCTAGCGAATTCAAGTTGGGAAAGAACAGAGCCACAGCAATGGCCAAGCATACAAAAACCAGGAACCACTCTGCTCCGCTCAATGTCTCGGAATTGCACGTGCGCCCATCCCCACACACCATTTGATAGAAACTCTCCATGGTCCCTCCCCCGATGATAATCAGGATGACACATGTACCTCCTGATAGATACATGACTGGAAATATAGCAAGAAACTTGCCCAATTTTAAACCTGAAATCATCCACACATCATCATACATCTTCTTTAGCTCCTCTTGTACATACGCCCATATATACATATATAAAGTGCTACTCCCCTCGTGACATTGGAAAGTCAAATGTACACATGATCGGCTTCAAGGGAACAACTTTACACATTAATATATATATATTAATAAAGGTATATAAATTAGGACTTTACTAATTACAGTCACCTTTCGTTGTTGTGACTTCACAATCATTTGTTCTATCAGTATAGGAATCAGATCCCATTAAATGCATTAAATACTTAAGTTTCTATTTTAGTGGAACTCTACAAATATTACTTTTTTAGACAGATATACCCTTTTAAATTATCTAACATTTCTTCTTTCCCCTTTTAATCTATCCATATGAAAATGTGTTTGCGCGTGCGTGCGTATGTATATATATATATGTATATATATATATATATATGAAAATGTGTGCGTGTGTGTGTGTATATATATATAAAATAACTATTGCTATGTGAATAAATTCTGAAAAAGAAAAAAAACTATAGTTAGGATAATCCATTCTCAAGAGATGAATTCTGAAAAAAAAAAAAAAAAAAGAGCTAGAACAAAATCCAAAAAAAAAAAAAATAATAATAAATAAAAGAGAACGAGAAAAGAATCTATATACAAGATAGATTCTGAGATTTTTAAAAAATACAAAATTAGTTATATATATACACACACACGTGTATATTTCTTTTTACAACTATCTTGGTGAATGAATTATTTGTTTTTTTTAAAAAAAAATCCATTTAAAGAAGGATAGTTGTAAAAAAAAAAACAAATAATTCATTATACATGTGTGTGTGTATACAACACGCACACCTCTTCATATGGATAAATTAAAAGGAGAGAGAAGAAGAAAGGTTAGATAATTTAAAAGAATATATTTGTTTAAAAAAGTAATGTTTGTAGAGTTTTACTAAAATAAAAATTTAAGTAATTAATGCAT